ACGTGCACTGACCTTGGAGAACTGCGCCGTTACCTTGGCTTGCAGATCTCCAGGGACAGCAGCAGCGCGCACCATCACCCTGACTCAGTCACACTTGGTGCGCCAGGTCCTTCAGAGGTTCGGCCTTCAGTTCTCCTCTGCACAGCCCACCCCTCTGCCTGTAGACCACAGACTCTGCTCCAGTTTCTGAGGAGTCGGTAGAGCCCAGCGGCCCCTACGCAGAGCTGGTGGGTTGCCTCATGTACCTGATGACTTGCACTCGCCCAGATCTCGCATACCCTCTCAGCATCCTGGCTCGCTTTGTGGCCACAGGCAGACACCGACCGCAGCACTGGTCTGCCGCTAAGAGGGTTTTGCGTTATCTTGCTAGTACATCAGGCATGGGGTTAGTGCTAGGAGGACGTGGGCCAGTGGTCCTTACTGGACACACAGACGCTTCTTGGGCAGACGACGCCGAGACACTCAGGTCTACCCAGGGCTACTGCTTCAGCCTTGGTTCAGGTGCCGTCTCGTGGAGAGCTACCCGCTCCTCGTCTGTTGCCCAGTCCAGCTGTGAGGCCGAGATCTACGCTGGTGCCATGGCGGCACAGGAGCTCCGCTGGCTGACCTTCTTGCTCACTGACTTAGGTGAGCGGCCTAGCTCTGCCCCGGTCCTGTTCGCTGACAACAGGGCCATGATCCTCCTGTGTCAGGAGCCTCGACTCGAGGGCAGAGCGAAGCATATTCAGCTGTACTCTTCCTCCTGCGAGCTACAGCAGCGACGCCAGGCTCGCGTAGTACACTTGGCCTCAGGTGCCAACACAGCTGATATCTTTACGAAGGCGCTTGCGCCTAAAGATCATCAGCGGCACTGTGTACAGCTTGGTCTAGTTCCTGTAGCCTCTCACTTGCTAGGGCCTTGACTTTGTACTGTCCTTTATATGTGTACTCAGACTGGACTTGTGTCCTCTCGCAGTGGCTGGACTAGTAGTGCCGCCCTGGTCTTGTTCTTGCCTTGTCTGTACTCCTTCTGACTGGTCTTTTAGACCCTTGTCTCAGAGGCTGGACTAGTAGTGCCGCCCTGAGCTGCTTGTTCAGGACCTGCCCCTATGCAGTCTAGGGGGTGTGTCAAACATGTGTATCTCCTATGTTTGCATAGACTGTATAGGGCCACCTCTTAGAGGGTACAACACTTAGGTATATTCACCTGTACTCTCTCTCTACTATCATTCAGTTCTCACTTTGATACATAGTCTGGCCCCCAAATTGCAGACTTTTTACTCTGATTCAGACTTTTTTCAGAATTTTTTTGGGGGTGTACTCTGATTCCAAAGACTTTTTTTTCTATGTTACTCTGATTTTTCAGAGAAGTTTTATGTACCTACTCTGATTTTTCAGACTTTTTTGACATGTGTACTCTGATGCTTCATCCTTGTATGGGGGGGGGACTCTGATTCCTGTAATACCGTCATTATGGGGGGGTTGCGAGATTTGCGTTGGTACCTCTGTTGTCACCGTCAATCACGCCAGAATTACATTTGCGCTGGCGGCCCGAGCCGTCGGGGGGCAAATTTGTGCGATGGCGCCAGCACAGAGATAGCCCAAGCAGCCGACTGGTCCTTGACCAAAACACGGTTGTTTTCGCCAATCCTGAGGTATTTTGCTGGGTGAGGCACAGCAGACGAGGCATCGCACCCATGCTGACGCGACGAGTGCCTGGTTCATTCATGCATGGACAGCATCTCGCGCGCTGCGATGGAGTTGCAGCTGGCATACCCCCTCCTTCTCCATCAGTTCTTTACTGACGGGGAAAACGACCCCTGCTTCTCCCCCCTCCAGCAAAACTTCAGCCAAGCTTCGTGTAGCCCCTCGGTTTTCTTTCAGTGCGTTTGTTTTCCCACCGCGCCCCTGCAGGCCATGGAGCAGGTCGACCTCGATGAGGACGTAGACGAGGCAGATTATGACGAACAAGACGAAGAGTACTGGTGTGCCGAGAATTTCCACGATGGTCCGGCCGCACTAAAGTTCCTGCGGTAGTCGGATGCTTCAGATCGTAGCCCTCAGAGGAAGCCTGGTGACGCTGCCCCTGCTGATGGCGATGCACCTGTTCCCGATGCAGCGGGCAAGAAGTCTGGGGATGCAAGCCCCCTGCCCACTGCTTCAACTCCTGTCGCCGGCACCACGCCGTCGGTGACGGCGGCGAGAGGTTCCGGTACAGGCAGGTGATTCTGCCGTATGCCTCAACGTCGACATGCCAGGATCCGCCTGAGCCTGTGCCGAGCCCCTTTGTACATGCTCACTTGCCAGAATCGTCTGGCGGTAGGTCCACTGCTAGAACGAACGAGGACATCTATGCTGAGGCCCAAGAGCGTTTCAAATCTCGCTGGTCTGAAAGATTCCCTTGGCTCATGCTTTTGAAAACTGATGATGGGCTCCCGGCCTTCAAGTGTAGTGTATGCGCAGTGCATGCAGGACCTGCAGGGCATACCGGCAAATCGGGCAAGGGAGCAAAGGACGTGCAGACACAGTCGTTCAAGAAGCACGCCGGAACGCAGAAGCATCGCCTCGCCATGTCCAAGCAGGACGATCTCCTGCAACAGGCGTCTAACCAGCGGCGGATCGACCTGCATCTCCGCGGGCCGACGAAGAGAAGGAGCGAGTGATCGCGTTGCTCGACTCCCTCTACTTCTGCGCCAAGTGTAACGAACCCATGGAAACTTGGATTCGTTTGGTGCGATACCTCTCATCGCGCAGTTTCAAGGGCTTCCTGAAGTCTGCCTACGGCACGTACTATAACTGGTGAGAACTCCAGTGACTATGAACTGCGCTATGTTTCGTCTTTAGATATGAAACTTACAACAACTTGCATTGTGCGTGTCATGTAACAGGTACGGCTTCGGCGAACTGACACAAGCGACGGCCACATGGCTACAGACGACTCAACTCCAACACCTGCTGGCGAGTCCCTACATTGGCCTGAGCCTCGACGAAAGCACCGATCGCTGCCGTGGCAAGCACATGATCGTGTTTGCCACGTTCATCCGGGAAGGGCGGCTTGTAACTGAGTACCTGGCTCTGTTGACGGTGGAGAAGGCGGATGCGGCATCGCTACTCGCCCTCTTGTTGTCCCATCTGCAGGCGATTGGCGTCGACCTCGGCCGCATCTCTAGCATTAGCACTGACGGCGCTGCCGTCATGATGGGAGCGCGCTCTGGACTTGTGGCCCGCCTTCGTCTTCGCGTTCCGCACCTTGTCTCTTGCCATTGCATTGCCCATCGGTTCGTCAACCGTTTGCTGTATGCATGTCATGTTTATTTGCTTGTTTTGTTATAATTCCAATCGCTAATTTGCTTCCTACATTGCATCTCATCCCCTTATCCCACGCAGAGAGGCGCTGGCGGCAAAGGCTGCAGCTGAGGAGATCCCTGTCTTCAGCATGGTTGACAACATCATTCGCGAGATCGCTGAGCTGCTCGGTCGCTCCAACCCTTGGCATCAACGATTCTTGGAGCTCCAGGATGTTCATGTCGACGAACCTCGAGCTCCAGGGCATCCACAACATCCGCTGGCTGTCGCGCGGAGATGCTATCATCCGCCTGGTCGAGGTCCTACCAGCCATTGTGGTCATGCTGCAGGAGTACGACGCCAAGCTGTACGCGCTCGTCACCAGTTACCGCTTCTGGCTCCTCCTGGTGTTCCTCGCCGACGTGCTCGAGCTGCTGAACGTGCTCAACAAGGTCTTTCAGCAGCGGGGGTAAATATGTTTAATGCTTGTGTTTGCAACTTTGCATGCATGTCGATATTGCTCGTCTCTGCCGCTCGTCCCTTAACCACACATCCCTCTGTGATGCCCTAGCTTTCCTCGCCCCCTACCCACCAGCTGGACTACACAACGGTGCACGCGCAGATCATCCGCACGACCTCGCTGCTAGAGAGCCGCTACGTAGACTGCGGAGACGACTTCAGGCGGGCCCAACGATCGATTGACGCGGTTCCTCGCCAAGCACGGGCCCGGCAAGTCCAAGCTAGTGACAGTGGAGGGGATTGACTCCGATGGCCGACCTTCACGGTTCACCTTCGAGCTGCACAAAGAGCCCCAAGAGGACTACCCTGGGCCCAGCGACCACGATGGGAGTGTCGTGGCGTGCATGGCTCTAGCGGAGGGCCTGGTCCGCAACCTCGACGAGCGCCTAGGCGATCTGCGGCAGCTGTCGGGAGCGCGCCTGTTCAGCGTCGACACATGGCCGCCCAACTGGGACCGCCACGCACGGAGGACGCAGTGCCTCGAGTGGTTCAACTCGCTCGTGGTCAACTACCGCGCTGAAGACAAGGACGAAATTCTGCCAGGTAAATTTGTTTACTCCTTTCAGTATCCCTTTCGCAATATTTATGAAACAAGACACATGTCTTTTCGTTAACCCTGTGTAGTGATTCAGATAACCCAACCCTTCTCCGTTTCCTTGTGTTGTGTGCCCTTGTCTGATCAGGTATAGACAAGCGCAAAGCCCAGAGCGAGCTCCGCAACTTCGTTCCCGTCCTTGCTGCGCTTCCCAAGGCGGACAGGTCATTCCACGCGGGGTTGAGCGCCATGCTAAAGACGCAGGACTGGAGGGACAGCTACCCAACCTGGTCAACTTGTGGGTGGCGGTGGCTGTCCTTCCGTTGAGCACTGTCGAGTGCGAGCGCGGGTTCTCCCGCCAGAACGTCATCAAGAGTTGGCTGCGGGGGCTCTCAAGGATACTAGGCTAGGAGATCTGATGTGCATGTCGCAGCTAGAGTATGACCCCGACTGGCAAGAGGTGGTCACCATCTGGCGGGCTTATAAGAAGAGGAAGCCCCTTAGCAATGCCCTCCCGAGTCTTGTAGCAGCAGGAAGGGAAAGGAGAAAGTAGATTATGATAATGATATGGCGACAGCACCGCAGCAAGATATGCAGGATATTGACTGATTCTGTGCATGTAGTGAATTGTAGTGCATTCTCTAATGAAGAACCATAAAAAAGGCTCATACTAAAGTTTGGCTATGACTCTGATTGGTCAGACAAAAAATTGTAGGCTACTCTGATTTTTCAGACTTTTTCAAGGAGGCAACTCTGACACCCATACCAAGGGAAGGCAGTGGACTCTGACGAATCAGACAGACCCAAAACCAATTTGGGGGCCTGTACATAGTATATAATTGGAGAACCACCCAGAGGAATCAGAATGAACATATCCGACCAGCCCTGACGGCTACACGTTTCTTGGGGGCCCGCCCTGATTGGCCAGGATGCCTAAATCCTATCTTGAGGCCTTGCCCGGGCCTCATCATCCGCCTCTGCATCTTGCACGCATGACTCATGCTCCGTTTCGCACGGCACCCTCGTTCCCAAAACCCTCTTCCTTCCCATACTCTCCTTTCCCCCCCTTCCCCTCTACCTTCCATGAAGGACTCTCATCACCCCATATTTCTCACCGCATGAGTCGAGCCATGCCTCGGCTCTGGAACAGGCACGAAAAGAGCCCAAACCCCAACCCCGGTCCATCAGCCAGCTCATCATCACAGAGATCATCCACATCATCCACCACCAGCCCCTTGGCCCTCAGCCTCTCGAGCAACTCCTGCCGCCGCTGCTCCTCCTCCGCACTCATCGCTCCTCCTCCTCCGCTCCACTTCCTCCACCACCACCCCTCCCCCCCCCTGCAGCCCTGCCTCTCCTCCTCTCCAGCACCTGCTCTAGGAGGTCCTGGAGAGCCCGTTTTTCCTCTCCAGAACCTGCAGCTTCTTCACCAGCTTCTCGTTCAGCGCAGCCATCGGTTGCAGCACCTGCACCTTGTGCGCCGCGGCCTTGAGTGCTGCTCGCAGCTGCTGCACCTCCTCGTCTGAGCTGACCCCTGCTGCTTCACCATCCTTGCCTGTCCTGGACCACGACCAGATCGTCTGCTCCCCCGCCGCTCGCTCTTCTTGCCATGGTTACTCCTCCTCCCGCTCCTTCTCCTCCCCTCCTCCCCCTCCTCCCGCTGCTGCTGCAAAAGCCGTGGCTGCTGCAGCGGCCATCGCGACTTCCAACCGACCCCCACTTCCCTTTCCCGCCGTCCTTCTTCGCAGGAGTGGCCCCCATCTCCTTAAGCTCGCCTTCCACCCTCTGCATGTTCCTCTTCAGCATACCCATCTCCACTACCTTGGACTTCACCTCGGACTCCAATTGCTTGATCCGCTCGTCCTTCCTCTTCCCTTCCTCTCCAGAAGCGCTTTCGTCCTTTCCACTTCCTTCACCTGCGCACGCAGCTTGCCCACTTCCCCGTCCCCTCCCAAACTATCGCCTCCTGCTCCTCCTCCTGCCGCCCCCACCACTCCGCCGCCTACTCCTCCCTTCCAGCTGGCACTTCTACTCACCGGCCCTCTCCCTTTCTCCGACCCGCCCCCACTGCCAGCACCACCCTTCCCCACCCGCCCCTGCCTTGCCAAGTCCCCCAGCTGCTCCTTCTGCTCGCGCACCTGCTGCTGCAGCTTCTCCACCTTGCTCTTGAGGTCCATGTTCTTCATTCGCAGCTTCCCATCTCCACATCAAGCGCAACCGCGCTCTCCTCCTGCTCCTTCCGCTGCGCAGCCCCACTCGCCTGCCTCTTCCCCTCCTCCATCTCCCTCCTAAGCGCCTCTACCTCCCTCTCCTTCGCCTCCAGGACCTCCTTAAGCACGCCGTCTTTCTTCCACGTTTCAACCTCGTCCTTTGCCGCCCCCAGCTGCTCCTGTAGCTCTTTTGTCTCCTTCTGCAGCTTGTCCACTTTCATCTTCAGATCCCCGTTCTTTATTTTCAGCTGCCCGACCTCCACCTCCAGCCCCACTGTGTACTGATCCTTTTCTTTCGGAGCTGCCCGGCCACCCTCCTCTTGATTTTCAGAACCCGCTCCTGAAACACATGCACCAGCAGATTCAACGGCAGGCATCATCCTCCCCCCATGACCCACATCCTCTTCGCCCCTGCTTTCTCGCCCCCGAGCCTGAGAGCACGCGAGTCAATGCCGTGCTCCGGGTGTTCCTGGCGCGGAACCCGAAGCAGGGGGTAGGAGGGAGAGCAGAGCAGGCAGCAGCAGCAGCAGCGGCGGCGGCAGGGTCCGAGGCACCAGCAGAAGCAGTAGACACGTCGCTACCAGTGGGACTGGCCAGATCACTCCCAGTCCTCCTGCTACTCTGCTCTCCTCCATTTCTTGCTTCCCGCCTCCTCCTCCCTCTAGGCTATTCTGCTGCACCTGAGCCTTCAGCTGAGCAACCTCTGCCGCATGCTCTCCGTCCTCGTTTTAAGCTCCTCCCGCAGCTTCTTTATGGTCACCTGCAGGTCCATCTGCTTTATCCGCCACTGCCCCGCCTCAACCTCCCTCGCCACCTCCTCCTTCTCCTTACCGCCCTTCTCACTCTCCGCTTTATCCTCCCCTTCTCCGCTTCCCCTCCCTTCCCCTCCTCACTCCCCCCACCCCCAATCCCCTCTCCTTCCGCTCCTTCCCCCTCCCCTTCCCCCGCATCCTCATCCACTATTCCCCCTCTTCCTTCACCTTCTCAAGGGCGATCACGGCTTGCGCCTCTCTCTCGCGGGAGTCCTTCAGCGCAGCGGAGAGGCGGTCTAGCTTCAGCTTTAGATCCATATTTCGGATCCTCAGCTGCCCCACCTCAACCTCCAGCGCAACCTGCTTCTCGTCGTCCCGCATCCCCGCCTTACCCTTTCCCCCTCCGCCCGCGCCTCCGCCTCCGCCAGCCGAGCCTCCGCCTCCGCCAGCTCCGCCTCCGCCCCCGCTGCGCCGTCCGCGCCTTCCCCTGCCCCCGCGCCCGCCTCCGCCTCCCCCTCCACGATTTCCCGCAGCATCGCGTTTTCCTCCTCAAGTGACTCTAACGAGGCCAGCTTCTGCCTCAGCGCTTCCTCCTCCTCCGCGACGGCTTTAAACCGTCGCACGAGCGTACTAAGCTGCTCCTTAGCACGACCCACCGCTTCCTGCGCTAGGGCTATCTTAGACACGTCAGCTCCCTTAGCTTCCGCATCCTCCTCGCGGTTCTCCTCCGCATTCCCCTCGGCCTTCCCCTCCCCTGCCAGTTTCAGCTCGGATAACGCTCCAACCAGTTCTCCCACGAGCCTTGCCCTGCTTCCTCCTTCAAAACCTTGTCCAAACTGCCCAAAATCTGCCCAAAAAACTTTTCGATCGCAGTCACATCCTGCTCGACAACAAACATTTCGCCCCCCTTGCCCTTCCCCGCACCCTCCGCCCCAGCCCCGTCTTCCGCCAGCTTGGCGGAGGAACCCGCGGGGCTGATAAGCGGAGAGAGTAGCCCCTCCTCCAAGCCTTCCCCGGCCGCGCATTCGCTGTCGCGGCGGCGGCGGCGGCGGCGTAGTGCGTCGACGTGACGAATAGCTGCTCGTAGCGCGCCGCGAGAGTTAAGTAGCGGTTGTGCAGCAGGTCGACCTGCTGGAGAAATGTCTGGGCGGCGCGCGTACATCAGCTCCGCGCGCTTGCCGAACGAATCCGCGCCCTCGTCTAGCAGCTTGTGGACGGCTTCCGCGCACTTGGCGGCGTCTGCGCAGCGGGGGAGAGAGAGAGGAGGTAGAGTGGGAGGAAGAAAGGGATTAAGGAAAGAGGGAGACGGAAGAGTAAGAGAGAGAGGAACGTTTGCCAGAGGAGTCTGCCCCCTCGTCTAGGAGCCTGTGGGCGGCGTCCGCGCACTTAGCGGCATCTGCAAGGCAGGCGAGAGAGGAAATAGAGAGGGAGGAGCAAGACACACGGGACAGATGTGGAGAGAGAGAGAGAGAGAGAGAGAGAGAGAGGAGAGAGAGAGAGAGAGAGAGAGAGGAGAGAGAGAGAGAGAGAGAGAGAGTGAGAGTGAGGCGCATAGGAGAAGAGGCAGGAAGGACGGGGGAGTAGAGGAGCGACGCAAAGGAGAGTGATGGAGAAATGAAGGCTTCGCGTGTGCCAGCACCCGGCACATAGCGAAGGCAGGCTGTTTCATCCAGTCAGGCACCGCACCGCAGCCTCTTTAATTACCGAACCAAACCATGCGGCGAACATGACCTATAGATTGGACCCGCTCTACGCCACTTTTTTTCAAAAAGCAGACCAACGAAACAAAAGACGACGGAAAGAAGGATGGAATGCTCGTCAAAATGGAGAAAGCAAATCAGAAAGGCGAGAGGAAGCAAAAGCAGATATTTAAAGACATGTGGAAAAAAAACCAACAAATCGAAACATCTGCCACTAAAAACGTTGCATATTCAGAGCACGTATGCCTCTAACAAGAGCAGCAGCTGGGGCAATCTTAAACAACTACAGATCCGATCACATCCGCCGTGCTCCTGATACTTATACATTCTATAACCCACCCTCGCCTCACCTTGAGAGTTCACTTTTAGCCATCGATTTACAGCCGACTGGGACAGCAGTCGTTTCCCCTGATCGCCGCCCGTCATCGGCCGCGCGCTGCCTCCCCCAGGCGTCAAAACCGAACCGCTGGCTTCACCTCCCCCGCTGCCGTGCGCAGCTTCAGCTTATCCTTGAACTTTTGCACCGACGTGTATGTTTTCACGCGCGCCGCGAGAGGCCCTTGAGGCGGAGCGCCTTGCGCTCCGTCCGTTGACGTCGGCATGGAGACGGAATTTTAGACGGAATGTGAGACCGGTAGTGGTACTCGTAAGCGGGACGAGATTGACACACTAGCACAGGGAACCAGGGGAATGTAACCGGGGGAATGTATTGAGCGCGAGGAACCCACGGAAACCGGACTACGAGAAGGATCATGTACAAACGCTTCCCGCCATCTCTATCCAACGCCGACCCGGATCTAACTAACTGAAGGGGAACAAGAGGTAACCAGCTACAGTACTAGGCTCCAGAAATTTCTGCCTTAGAGATAGGAATAGGCAGGCAGTAAGGACGGGTTGCTCACATTCAACCCCGACGAAGGGCGGAAGGCGGGGGTGAGGGAGGAGTACGCACAGGGAAAGGGGGAAGTGGAGGCAGGTGGAAGTGAGAGTGGGGAGAGAGGGGCGAAGAGGGTGGGTGGGTGGGGTGGGGACGGAAGGGGAGGGAGGGAGGGTGGGCGGAATGGGTTTACCTGCGTGGGGTGGGGGGAGGCACGCCCTGCGGTTGCATGGGGAAAGATTTGAGATTTGTTTCCTCTTGACTTTTGGCGGAAGGTCGGCAGCACCTTTTCCGCTGACCGTGGATGGGAACGAACGAATGCCGCGCGCCAGAACAACAGCCAATCCAACTGCATTGCGCCCTCGTATGAATCCTGGATCTCGAATTCGACGCGCGCGACATTATTGATGGATGGATGACTTGATGCCCAGCGATCTTTTCGGGGCTTGGCTGATTGAACTCGAGGCGTTCCTGGTTTCACTCGGCTTTACTATACTAAAATATATATTCCCTATTTGACCTCGAAATAAGTGCCCCCACCATTCTACGCACCAGGAGTGTTCTTCCCCTTAAAACTCAGAATGCCGTTCCGTAAAGTTCAACTTTACTGGGTTCACCTTCCTGTTTTGACTAGTGAAGCATAACCCGGTGATAGGGAGGGCAGCTCTCCCAGTGAACTATACCCCAAGGGAAACTTGATACTGTGGCACGCGATTGGAGGACTCGCAAAATTGACTACTGGAAGTGACGAATTTATTGCTCAACGAGTCTACACAGGCAGTACATAGCAGGTTTAGCGAGATGTTTGTTCTAAATTTCTAGACAAACAATTAATTCCATATCAACAAAGCTACGCATCTTGCAGCACTTCCTAAATGTGTGTACAAAACACAATGATACTTATATCTGGCGCTCCTTGGGTAAGTAGCTGAGAGCAAAGAGAGCACGCGGTGCCAACTTTGCTGCAAACACAAGCATAGGAAACCAGGAGGGGTCGAAGCTGATACATTTGAACAAATATCCCTGAGCACATAAAGAAGAGCTCGATGAAGGCAATGAAGCACAGAGACTCCAGGGCATTGTTGCAGAGCCAGGAGAAGAATTTTTTACCAGCTATCCCGTGATTAGCGAATTGATGTCAAGATGTAGCAGTGCTGCCTTGAGCGACTTCAGTACATCAGCGAGTTCACCAGACTGAAACAGGGAAAACGGGTGGTAGGAAGGGGGGGGGAGGGGGAGGGGGGAGAGAGAGGGGGGGGGAGAGAAGTGGGTGGAGGAAGAGCAGGACGGAGTTGGTCCAGTAAAAAACTGGACAGGTAGAGTCATGCCTATACCACAATCCACTTCCCCCCTCACCCCCGACACCACCCCACCCCGCCCCACGCATGCGTCACGTGCCAACCACATCCCAAATCCATACCTGGTGCATCTTCATGACAATGTCGCACCCGCCAATGAACTCCCCATTCACATAGACCTGGGAATAGTGGGCCACTCGCTGTCGGGGACGGGGGGAAGGGGAGGGAGGGGGGTACATTCGCAGAGACGAATTAACAATCACCATACGTCCTTACTCCGTTTGGCTTTGCTGGATCGGCTGATGCTAGTGCACAACATCCAAATCAACTGATAGGTACAGGTGTCATTCCAAAAGCCTACCTGAAAGATTTGATTCCCTCTCTGAGGTCTGGATCCTCCAGAACGTTCACCCCCTTGAAATCTACGCCTGGAGAAGGGGGTTAGTGAGAGCGCAACGGAGATGGGAAGGGGGGGGGCAGGCGGCTGAAGAGAGCTGGCGGGAAAGTGAGCGAGGAAAGCGTGAGGTAACAGAAAGAGCCGGACGAAATGGAAAAGAGTGCGCCACAACGGAAGGGGGGCGAGAAGAGAGGGGAGCGGGGAGGGGGGAGGGGTGGGGATTGGGCTGGGAAGGGGAGAGGCAAGAAAGGAAGGTGACAGAGTGCAGTGCAGCATGGTTACCATGAGCAGCGAGCACGCGCACGACAGCAGCGCTGAAGCCGCACATGGGCGCGGATGGCAGGCCCTTCATGAACACCACCACGGGACACGACTTGATGTCCTGGCCGGCGGGGGGCGGGTTGGAGAGAGGGGAGGGGAAGGGGTTGTTCGAGGTGCCTCGAAAATCGGATGGCAGGCCCTTCGTGCACACCACCACGGGACACGACTTGATGTCCTGGTTGGGGGTCGGAGGGAGGGAGGCCGAGGGAGGGGGGCGGCGGAAGACGAGGAGGAAGAAAGATGATGGGAGCTGAGAGGCGGCAAGAAAGACGTGATCTAGTTGGAGAGAGTGCGGTGTGAAGCTAAAGCCTGTCTTAAAGCGAAGGCAACGCGATGTTAAGCTTGGTACGCACTGTCAAAGTGAGCATTATGACTCTGAATCGCATGCCCTGAACTGGAAGCTTCTATTGCCACACGCACGTCACGCCTCAAATCGTATCCCGTCAGCTTACTCTTCCTTCTATTCGTGCACTGGCCGCACATACCCGTTGTAAGGCAGCACCGGTGTCAGATCGCCGCTCACCTCTTGAATCTGCGCGTGCACCGGGAGCACCCCCTCGGCCGCCTTAATCTGCGGTTTAAAGTCGTCGTGCGTCTCGCCGCCATCCTCGCTTGGAGGAGTCGCGCCGCCTCCAGGCGCCGTCCCCGCCGGGCCTCCCGTCGCATGTGACGGCGCCGATCCGCGTGCAGCCAGCGCGCGCCGATCAGGGTTCCTGTACACTCGACGAACGAGCCAGCGTTGAAATGTGTCGGCAAGCCGGAATTCAGCGCGGGCTAGGGAGGAATCCCTGATACCAAGGAGCGACGGATCGACGACAATACATGGAACCAAACGAAAGAGATAACGAAAAAGGCGTTACCAAGAGGAGGATCGCGGCAGGAGAAGTCGCGAGGATCCTTCGCGAGAAGGCGAGGAGAGGGGAGAGGACGGGTCGCGAAGCAGCCATGGCGGGCCGAGAGACTGAGGCACGGAATTGACTGGCGAGATTCAGAGGAAGGAACAAGGCCCGTGGCTCGTGTTCCCTGTTTACAGCCGAAAGATTATCGATTAAAAAGGCCGCGGAGAGCACGGCACGGCAACAAGGGGCTGCAGTGTAGAGCAGACCTCGGGGCGATAGCGAAGGCACGAATGGCTGCGGGGCAGGAAAACAGGAGCAACGAAATGCATGAATGAACCCGCTGGGATTTGAACTACTGACTGTATATGTATTGCCTACAGCATTTTGTATGTGTAGGTTAGTCATATTCATTAACATTTTTGGAAGGTATGCACTTTCGTTAGTGCAAATGTTTGTATTGTAATAAATATACATATTAATTCAGTGATAAAAAATTTTCACGCTTCACATTGCAGTTCTTGTGATTTGACAACTTTACAACAACCATGAAACAATTTGATCATCAAAACCAATAGATCACGTAAAACATATTTATGTTGTATATAAAAGATGGAACTTCAAAGAAAAGTACCCTCCAGGGAATATATACACTAAGCCTTCAGATTCGTTTCTGGCCACACTGAATTCTCTGTATAGGTACACGAAGCCACCCTGAAAACTCTCAGAGTAGCAGAATGAACTAGAATAAGGGTACACGGTAGTTTTGACCTTATGAGCTGTACTCTCTAAGGCATGCCCCTATCTAGGCTATAATATATATACAAATATGTTTGGCACACCCCTAGACTGGACAAGGGCGGTGCCTGGCAAGAGACAAGCAACTCAAGACGGCACTACTAGTCCGACCTCTGAAACAAGGTCCGAAGACCAATCAACAAGAGTGCAAACTCGACAAGAGCAAACCAAGGCGGCACTACTAGTCCGGCCACTGGAAGAGAAGCCACAAGGCCAGTCAATAAGGTATATAAAGAGTAGTACACAATAAATGTCCTAGTAAGTGAGGAACTACAGGAACTAGACCAAACAGCAAACAGAGCCGGCTTGAACACTGGCGGCTCTCCAGGTGGGCGCTTTCAGCGTGAAGAGCCACCGGCCATCGACGACGTTCACCCCAGGTGGGGGAACTGCGTCGATGAAGGTGCTGGTGGATCTCCAAGATGCCATCTCCTGCTCCATGGCAGCTATCCATTGAGAGGCCCAGGGTTCCAAGGTCGCCTCAACAGAAGTTTGAGGGGTCGGGATGCCAAGGCCATCTGGGTCACCATCAGGGACTAGCAGCATGGAACAGAGATAGGGAGTGGCCTTAGACTGGAAAGCAAGTTCGTACTGCTTGTCCTCTAGGAGTCACTGCCAAGGTCAGGAGCACCCTCGACGGACGGAGGTCAGTCAGGGCCAGAGACCAGAGCTGTAGCGTAGTCAAAGCGGCGGGTAGAGGCCGAAGTCAGCGACAGTAGCAACAAGAGCGTCAAGACTCGAGAAAGGAACAGACGGGTCGGTAACGAGGGAGGCAAGGACCGAGGAACAAGAGGACGAGCGATACGAAGGTAGTTAGACAGGGAGGCGGAGCAACTACGAGTGACGACGGATGAGGTGAGGGGAGGAGGGGAGGAGAAGATGGTGTGGGAACAAAGCAACATAGGGTGAGAGTGCTGGACAGGAAAGATAGGACGAGCACGAGACGGACGACAAGACCAGAAGTGGGTTGGAGGAGTCGGGTCAGGAAACACAGGAGGAGAACGAGGGGAAACGAGTCGGGGACGAGTCCGGCGAGGAAACATAGGGCCGTAAATAGGCAGGTGGTGGCAGGGGAGGCGCAGGCGCGTGGTCAGGGGAGGGAAGGCGAGGAGGCGAAGGGCGGACACCGGTGGCGACTACTGCTGCTGCTGCTCCACGCCGACACCAAAACCTCCGGCTGCACCACGGCTACCTCCGAAACGCTCCACTCAAGCACGC